TAGCTTTTTACCCCAGAGAGCAATATTTCTTCTTTCTCTCTATAATTAGATAATCTGCTACTACCCATTACCAGGGCACTAAATTTCAAATTCTCCATACACCTGAGCAGGCTGCTACATATCTGGCCATCTTAATTTTAGTCTTGATTTATTGAAGCTGAATTACATTCCTAACTCTTCCTGGAGCACTGGGTGAATTTTATTGCAAAAGCGATGGGGAGAAAGTTACCATCATATATCTCTCTTGCTGGGCAGAGCTTTTAGATACACAAGGGGCTCCATGTCCCACTGCTCTGTGTCTTGTATGCTGGATTTATAACACTGTGAAGCCCAGCTCTAGGGTTACATACAGGCATATCAGAGATAAGATGGGGAATTTGATTTTGCAATAATGATTACTTGTTGCTGGCGCCCACATTCCTGCAGGCTTTGCCTTTATTCCCAATACTGCTAGCAAATAAAACTAATTCCAACTGCTACCTAATCTAGCAAAACTCACCTTTCACTTAAGGAAGGGAGGTCAAAAGAAGGCAAGTGGGAAGGCAGGAGAATTTGAGATGCTGGCCATTTTTGCTGTTATCTCAAGGATTTCTGCTTCCATTATCATGATTCTTTTAGGAATATTTTAATCTTTTAAACTTGTTTCTTTGGGGGTAATGAAAGCATTGGATCTTTTCCAGCCCAGTGAGTTAATCTGATGGCTCATTCATGCTGTCTCTTCCACTTCAAGGAGGCCAGGTCCCTAGGGCTGACCAATTGTATTATGGCTCCTGCAGATTTGGCTTGCCATTCCTGCTGAGTGTCATCTGTCCTCGAAGTCTTGCAGTGGATAATTTTTGTCCTCCCCAACATCATCTGCTTGAGAAATTTGTGCCTGGCAGGCCTGTCTGTCCAAGTTAAGTTTGAAATACAGTACCCATACCACTAATTTGACAAGGCATAGCTCTAAACAACAAGGCCGCAGGCTTGCTTTGACCAAGAAGAGAAACTTCCAGCCACCTGATTACAAATTCCAAAGCTTCTTTGGTGCAGTCGATGAACTAGTCTGTTCATGTAATGTAAATTATCCTTCTCTTCCATCCCCATTTTTCCTGACCTTCTGCAACAGACATACCTTGTCTTAAAAACCCTTAGAAGTTTTAAACTCCCAGATTGACCTCATGAGGTTTCCAGTTCCTGACCATTTTCACCATTTGACTTGAGCCCTGTTACTTGGATAAAATAACTCTATCATTGACTCTCATCATCAGAGGCTGAGGGAACAGGCAATAGACATTGCAATAAAGCACTGGTTCTCAGACCTTAGCATGCATGGGAATCACCTGGGGCTTCTCAAAGCACAGATTTCTGGGATCTAATTCGAGTTTCTGATTCAGGAGGATTCTAATATTGCTGCTGTGATGACCATACAGTGAGAAGCACCGTTCTACACTTGTCTAAAGCTTAGGTGACAGGCACACACAGAACGAGCTAAATGCACACAAAAACTCATGCATTCCTTTTTGAACAGTTGAGTCCATTTTAATGAAGGTATGCCCAGTGTGGTGGATGGAATGCATTCTGTGTTCCAATGGGTTGGGTCTGTCACCGGAGCAGTTACTTTCGTGGTAGCTCTTGCAGTAAGACATGCATGTTCTGTGAATTATGGAGCTACCCCAGCAGCTTCTCTAGGGGGAGCTAGCAGCATTTGGTACAGGAAGATTCAGTACTGGATTATAAAGTTGCTGCAGCCTAGAAGATCGCTAATGCTCATACAAAGTGTGCTACTTCACACTAAACTGGCTTTCATGCCCAGTGTGCCCTAAGCATTTCCAAAACTTTTTTTTTTGAGACAGAGTCTCACTCTGTCACCCAAGCTGGAGTGCAATGGCACCATCTCAGCTCACTGCAACCTCTGCCTCCCAGGTTCAAGCGATTCTCCTGCCTCAGCCTCCCAAGTAGCTGGGATTGCGGGCGTCCACCACTACACCCAGCTGATTTTTGTATTTTTAGTAGAGACAGGTTTTCACCGTGTTGGTCAGGCTGGTCTCGAACCCCAGCCCCCCTTAGCCTTCCAAAGTGCTGGGATTACAGGCGTGAGCCATTGCACTTGGCCACATTTTAAAAACTATGAGACTGCTCTACATAGTAATATTTAGTACCTCATCCAATAGACCATCTACTCTTTTTTCCTCCTTTGCCTTAATCAGTTATTGCATTTAAAATTTTTTACATATATATATACATATATATATATATATATATATATTTCTGGGGTACATGTAAAGAACATGCAGGATTGTTGCATAGGTACATACATGGCAATGTGGTTTGCTGCCTCCATTCCCCCATCACCTGTATCCAGCATTTCTCCCCATGTTATCCCTCCCCAACTCTCTACCCCCGACTGTCCCTCCCCTAGTCGCCCCCTACAGACCTCAGTGTGTGATGCTCCCCTTTCTGTGTCCATGTGTTCTCATTGTTCAACACCCACTTATGAGTGAGAACATATGGTGTTTGATTTTCTGTTCTTGTGTCAGTTTGCTGAGAATGATGGTTTCCAGGTTCATCTATGTCCCTGCATTTTTAAATTTTTTAACCGATTTCTAAAATAGGTTAAAGAAGATAAGAAATAATGTCAATAGAAAATGTTGCAGAGGAAATCTCATGGAATGGATTTGATAGAGCACAAAATAAACATAGGAGTCCCTCCATCTCCCGCCCTGTGCCAATTATGCTTCCCTTGAGGGGCTTATACTAAGGAATAAATTTTAATTTTGTTCTTGGTATACATGTAATTACTCATTTATTTTTTAATTTTGACAAGATTCAATATGGGAGTACAGCAAATAATTTCCCCCAAAATCAGAACTTTACTTCTACTAAATTGACAACATCTCCATGATTTAGATGTCTTGACTCTCAAAAAGTACAGTAATTGGAAAAATCCCTTTACAATCCCATGGTTATATTTGTATATGATATTGATTCTCCAATCTTGTATAGAGGTTATGATGTGATAACAGCTATTGTTAAAAACATAAAGGTACTTAATGTATGGTTTCATTTCTATAATATTTTTTATGTGAAAAATTTTTAGAAATAGAGGACAGATGATAGGTTGCCAGAAGTCAGGGTGGGGACAGGGAGGAAGGTAAATGTGGTATGAAGGTACCTTAACAGGATCCTTACGGCATCCGTACTGGTCAGTATGTGGACTGTGATGATAGATGCATCAATCTACAGGTAATAAAATTGCGTAAAGTTAAACATATACACACACAGTGAATACAAGGAAAACTGGTGAAATCCGAATAACATTGGTGGATTGTATCAATGTCAATATCATGATTGTGATGTTACCATTGGGGAAACCAGGAAAAGTGTAGAAGGAAACTCTGTGAGAATCTACAAATATCTCAATAAAAATTTCATTTAAAAATATGGCAAAAGTCTCGTCAATCCAGAGACAATAAGAGATAATACAAGACCTTCAGGGAGAGGATAAGAGTCCCATTTTAGTCTCAAAACTCTTGAGATATCATGGGTCAAAGACCAAGGACACACTCAAGCAGCTGAATGTGCCAGGTGAAATGGCCCTGCCAGTGTTGTTTCTCAATCTCCTAGCTGTTTGAGCTGCAGTGTAAAGATGTCTGCAAAAGTGGAGAGAGAACAAAGGCATATGCTGGACCTCACCATCTCGAGAACAATACAACTCAAAAGTGTGTTATCAAATGGCTAGAATACATATTCACAGGCTACAAGCAACAGACTTGAAGAAAAGTAATTGTGTACTTATTTAGTGTTAGCTACCCTGTAGGCTCCATGAGGAAAGGAAAAGGCTGCATCAGTCTTGTTCACAACTATATCTTAGCTCCTAGCACTATGCCGGGTACATAGAAGCTGATCAGTAACATACTTGTTAAATGTTTTTGAATGAAAACAAGAAAAGCCCATGTGGCCTGTTAATATGGCTTCTCTCTTCCTTCTCTCCAAATCTCCCTTTCCCACTCTCTCCTCACCCACCACCTATACTTAAGCACATACACAGAAACAGTTATTTCTGCCACATGCAAGTCAGGACGTCATTTAATCTCTCTGTGCCTCAGCCTCCTCATCTGTAAAATGAGGACAACAATAATAACTACTTCAAAGGGCAGTCATGAGGATTAAATGAATGCAAATTTGTAGAGCACTTACAGTATTACCTGGCATGTAGCAAGTGCCATGTAAGTGTTTGTTAAACTACAGTGCTATCCAAAGTTAGCATGGACTTCAGAAGTCAAAACATGATCCTCCTCAAGACTGCCCTTCAGACACCTGCCACAAGCTCTGGGGTTCCCAGGCCACCTGCACTTCTGACTAGCTGTCTCTGTCATATGCCTAGGGCCTGAGCACTGACTGCTAGGGAGCCTCCGTTCTCACCCATGCAGCTTCTCTCTACACATGATACTTCATTGCTATTTGCTTTACTCCCTCAGGTTTCACAGAATGACTCACAGAACTCAAGAAAGTGCTATCCTTACAGTTACAGTTTTACTATAAAGGACACATATCAGGAACCAGCCAAATGAAAAGATGCATAGGGAGAGGTGTGGGAAGTTTCCCAAATAGAAGCTTACGTGTCCTCAGGAACTCTTCACCTTCCAGGCACTTTGTTGAATGATTACCAACCAGGAAGATCACGTGAGCTTCCATGTCCAGAGTATTAACTGGGGTTCCATTATGTAGGCATAGTTAATTAAATCATTGGCCACATGGCTCAGCTCAATCTCCAGCCCCAATCTGCTCCCCAGAGGTGGGCCTGGTTATGTGGCTCAAAGCCTAAGCCCTCTAAACACATGGTTGGCTTTTCTGGCATGGCCAGCTTCCATTCTGAAATCATCTTGGGTCTTCCACGAGTCATCTTTTTAACGTAAACTCAGATGTATTCCCAGAGGCCCACCGTGAATAACAAAGACACTCCTATCACTTGGGAAATTCTAAGGATTGAGGGTACTTCCCAGGAACCAGAATCAAAGTCCAGTCGAATTCTTTATTACAGAGCATAAAGTTTACTGAATTGAACAGGTAGAAGGAGCAAGAAAAGCATTCAAGGAATCACGTGTCTAAAAAGAAAGGCAAGAATAGTCTGCGACTCTCATGGCATAGTAGGGAAACAGCCCCCAGCTGATTGGCTTTGCTATACAATAGTCCTCCTTTAGCTGAGGTTTCACTTTCTGTGGTTTCATTAACTGTAGGACAGTACAATAAGATATTTTGAGAGAGAGACCACATTCACATAACTTTTATTAAGTTGTTCTATTATTGTTAATCTCTTACTGTTTCTAGTTTATAAATTAAACTTTATATGTATATACAGAAAAAAACACAGTATATACATGGTTCGGTACTATATGCAGTTTCAGGTATCCACTGGGGGTCTTGGACTGTATTTTCAGCAGATAAGGGAAGACAACTGTATTGGAATGCACCAGCTTTGAGTCAAATAACCAGGGCTCTGAGTTTAGCTCCAATGTTCAAACACCTTCCTATTCCAGCAGCATCCGCCCTGATCCAGCATGGCGGCACGAGCTTCTGCCAGTTCACATCCTGGCTACACAGCAGGCGCCTTTCCGGAATCGCCCTCTGGGTAGATTCAATTTCTCCGGCGCCCTGTGATGACGCAAAAAAACCGGCGCGCGTCTTGTAAGCTGGCAGCCACGTTTGCGCAGGCGCAGCGCGTCCGCGGGTGGGCGGAACCGGTCGGGATGAGTGGCGGAGGGACAGAGACCCCTGTGGGTTGTGAGGCCGCCGCGGGCGGTGGCAGCAAGAAGAGGGACTCCCTGGGAACCGCGGGCTCAGCGCACCTCATTATCAAGGGTACGGAGTCTCAGAGCTGTAGTTCCTGGTGGATCCCAGCGTAGCCCCACCTCCCAGGCGGCGCCCTCTGACCCGGGCCGACCCCTGGCTCCCGGGCTGGCGCGCGTGCGTTTGTGCGGGGCGGGGGAGTCGTGGCCGGTCCCAGTCTTTTTCCCCGCGCCAGATGCGTCCCACTGCAGCCAACCAGCCTAACTCCTCGTGCTTCCCCACTTTCCTCTGCCGTAGCCTGAGCCATCAGGCCCGCCCCCGTCCATTCCCCAAGGTCAGGACCCCTGGGGGCAGAACCTCTGGGCAACCTCGCCACCGACGTGTAGGGTAAAGGGCACTGGACCTGGGCGGCGGGAGGCAGTCGCTTAGGAGTTGAGTGACTTCGGGTCATTGGCTTTGTCTACTCTCCTACCCGGTCTGTCCCTGGTGGTGCGAGGAGTAAGTGAGATACACTTATGAAAGCGCTCTATAACACCGTAAAGAGCCATTCACGTTTAGAAATGTACATGTGTCCTGTGTGCTTTGAGCTGGAAGAAGGTTACAACCTAGATTGTCACGGAACCGGCATTAGGTTTGATTCCTAAAGCTCACAACGCTGTTTCCTGCGGGAAAGTCTTTGACAGTTGAGTTGTAGTTCTTTATATATACGAGTTAGTTATGTACAGTGCTTGTATTCATTCGTGTTTTTTTCTGCTTGGCATACTTAAGAAGATATGTCCTAATAAAATTCACTAAAATAGACAATTGAAATCTGCCCATCGTATGTCTGCAAAAATGAAAAATTTGGAGAACATGAATGAACATGAATAAATAATACATATCCTTACTCAGATTTAATTTCTCAAAGAATTTTGAGATTTACATTTTAAACTACATAGTTGTAACTAAGAATCATAAACTGACTCACCAAAAGACTTAAATTTAGACCTTCATTTCTTAAAGACTTTTTCAGACTTATGAAAACGAGACTTTCAATGAACATTCACCACCCACTTTAATAAACAAAAGCCCCACTGTGTCTTGCTCTGATTGCACTCATTCTCCTCCCTCCTCTTAAGGTAGCCACTATCTGCAATTTGGTGTGTATTATTATGATGCATTTCTTTGTAGTTTTGTTGCTTCTATATGTCTCTATATCAAAAGGAAGTATTTTGAATATTTTAGAGGTTTATGTAAATGGCTTTAATCCTTCTGAAACTTGCTTTTTAATTATATTTATTATAAAATATGTATTACATTTTTTATTATATTTATGTTGATAAGTGTAAGTCTGGTGTATTTATTTTTAGTTGCTGATTTATAGAATTCCGCTGTATGAGTATGATGAAAGTGTTTCCCTTTTTTTCTTTTGATGTTATACCAGTGCTGTAATAAACATGTATAAATGGCCTTATTCATTTGTGCAAGAGTTTTCTAGGCTACACACCTATGTGTGAAAATGCTAGGTATACAGGTCTTCAACTTTATTAGCTATTGAAAGATTGTTCTGAAAAGTAGTTGTATCAGTGTACACATGAACTGGCAGTGGATGAGATTTCTTCTTAGTCCATAGTCTAAACTGGATTTTAACCTTCATATCTTCGTGGGGAAGGGAGAGAATAAAACAAGCTAGAGATTATGCCATTTACCATGGATTAACCCTGAATTTCATTTTATCTTTATAGATCTTGGAGAAATTCATTCAAGGCTTTTGGATCACAGACCAGTTATTCAAGGAGAAACTCGTTATTTTGTAAAAGAATTTGAGGTGAGTATTTAAACTTATTTTATAAAAGTACTTCCCTAATTGTTAGTGTGTTATTATACAGAAGAGAAATTCCCCAGTTTTAAAATCCGATTTCAGTTTATGTGTTCATAAAATATATGAAGTAAAAATTTTGAAAAATTATAAAAATGCTTGTTTCTAGTGGGATAAGTTCAGGACTAAACAGCAGGAGACATAAGTTCTGGTGCCTACTCTAGGGTATTTCATGTCTGTTGATCTTGGGTGTTTTTAATCTATAAAATGAGATATTGTGGGGAAAAAAAGGGATTTTAGAGATTGATGGGTCTGAGTTTTCCAGACCTCTTTTCTGTATTTTTTTTCCTCAATTGAGACATCAGTAGTCACTCAAGCAGTCAAATTAAAACCTGAGAGTTATCCTTGGCTATTTCCTTTCTTATAGGTTCCACATTCAGTGACCACATCTTCTAGATGTTACCTAGATGGTTACCTCGTAAATGTCCATTCTCTCTGACAGGTGTGCCTGCTTTATCAACCAAGTCAAATCCAGTTTTCACCCTGCTGCCAGAGGAATCTAACATTGTTTCACTTTTTTTTTTTTTTTTTTTTTTTTTGGGACGGAGTTTCGCTCTTGTTACCCAGGCTGGAGTGCAATGGCGCGATCTCGGCTCACCGCAACCTCTGCCTCCTGGGTTCAGGCAATTCTCCTGTCTCAGCCTCCTGAGTAGCTGGGATTACAGGCACGCGCTACCATGCCCAGCTAATTTTTTGTATTTTTAGTAGAGACGGGGTTTCACCGTGTTGACCAGGATGGTCTTGATCTCTTGACCTCGTGATCCACCCGCCTCAGCCTCCCAAAGTGCTGGGATTACAGGCTTGAGCCACCGCGCCCGGCGCCACATTGTTTCACTTTTTAAAACCCTTTGGTAATGTTTCTGTCAGCAGGATAAAGTCACAGCATTGTTCTATGACCTGGCCTCTGCTTTTCTAGCTTAACCACCTGCCACTCTTTACCTTACATGCTATATTCCAGCGATACTGATACACGAACATCCTGCTTCATACTACTGTAGCTTTGTACATGTATAATTGGTTCGCTGTGCTTTGAGCAGTAACTTCTCAAACTACTGTTGGGATGGTAAATGGTGTTACACAAACAATTCTGTGATTCTGTGTAAGTTGGAGTTTTTTTGCAAATGAGACTTACCAGTCAGAATGTATAAACATGCCGAAAGGAGAGAACCTTTTAATAAACCCAGTTGTTACAGGGCAGTCAAGATAGAGGGCTAGAGCTGTTGCATTAGATAGATAACCATTTCTGAGTGCAAAAGATGCTGTGACTCCCCCGGGCACAGTGGCTCACACCTGCAATCCCAGCACTTTGAAGGCCGAGGCAGGAAGATCATGAGGTCAGGAGTTCAAGACCACCCTGACCAACACGGTGACACCCTGTCTCTACTAAATATACAAAAATTAGCTAGGTGTGGTGGCTGGCACCTGTAATCCCAGCTGCTCCAGAGGCTGAGGCAGGAGAATCGCTTGAACCTGGGAGGCGGAGGTTGTAGTGAACCAAGATAGCACCATTGCACTACAGCCTGGGTGACAGAGCAAGACTTCATCTCAAAAAAAATAGAAATAAAAAGATGTTGTGACTCAAAAACTGCATAATACTTCACCGGGTATGTGCATCTTAGAATATTGTCTGGTACCTAGGAATTAACTAGGTAAATAACCAAGTTTCTTATACGTGTTAATGTATAACAGATTATACATGTTAACTGGCATGCATAATTGTTTCAGTTAATATGTTAATTAACGTGTATAATTGGGTCAATTAACATGTTGATTAACATGTTGATGTTAATTAACATATATGTTAATTAACATGTATAATTGGTTCATTGTTCATTAAGCAGTAAATTCCCACAATCTGATTATACCACATCATCATTTGAAAATTTTTGAAAAGTCTTTTTGATCTTTTTAATCATTTATTTATTTGTCATTATTATTTATTCTTATTTGAAATAAGACTAATGTGGGAGAAAATTATCCAGAGACTATTCCTTTACCATGCTGTGTCAAGATGATTACCAATTCCTTAGTAAGAAGAAAGTTTAGGCCAGGCGAGATGGCTCACGCCTGTAATCCCAGCACTTTGGGAGGCCGAGGTGGGCATTTTCACTTGAGGTCAGGAGTTTGAGACCAGCCTGGCCAACATGGCAAAGCCCTGTCCCTACTAAAAAAAAAAAATTTAAAAATGAGCCGAACGTGGTGGCATGTGCCTGTAGTCTCAGCTACTTGGGAGGCTGAGGTAGGAGATTCTCTTGAACTCAGGAGGTGGAGGTTGCAGTGAGCCGAGATCGGGCTGGTCTCAAAAAAAAAAAAAAAAGAAGAAGGAGGAAAAAGTGGAAATTTCTATACAAACTTGCTATAAGTTTTTTACAGCATGTTTTATAAATATGTTCTTAAAATTTGAGTTTTCCATGTATAGAGTGTGTATTTAGTTATTCTTAAATGTGGGAGCTATATTTTCTTCTTTTTACCTTACTTCAGCAACCATACTATCAACAAATGTACCTCCAAAACATCTTGAATTTCTCTACTTATCCTTCTTGCCACTACCCCCATCCCAACCCAGCTCACGGTCAGCCCTCACCTGGACATCTGCAGTAGGCTCCTACTTGATCTCCTGGATTTCAGTCTTTGTGAAATTACCTTTCCTTTATGGTAGCTAAATGGTGTGTAAATCTGATCAGACCACACCCTTGCTTAGCCTCCTCCCACTGTGGCTTTTCTTTACAGGGACAGTGCACTAGGGCTCCTTGGCTGTAGTGAAGAATCCTGGATGGTCTCTGACTTCTACTCGTCTCTCACACTTTATTGTACAAAACTCTTCACTCCTTGTGTTTCAGCCACAATGCTTCCTTTTTCTTTAACACATTACTATTGTTATAGCATCAGCAATTCCATCTTCCTAAAATGCTGCTACTTCTCATTATTCGCATGGCTCATTATTTTTGGTTTAGATTGCAGGTTAAATATCACCTCTGGCCCTTTAATCCGAAGCAGTCACCAGTACACTCTAGCATGTCACCCTAATTTACTTCTCTATGGAGCACTGTATTCATTTTCTAAGTCTGTATAATAATTTACCACA